ATAATTGCTTATATTAAAATGCCTAAAATCAGAAAAGGAGGGATCAAATAATCAGAAATAAAAGAAAATAGATGCATGGAATGCAATAAGGATGGTAGGGATGGCAATCTCACTTTTCTAGTGCAAACCTGCATTTTTATTAAAGGCATATTTTGGCAGGCCTCAAAAATACATTGTGCTCAGTAAAAATGAAAAATCCCCATGCTGATAAGTAAAAGTTAAACACAGAATAATTCATCCCTTTATTATTACACAAATAATAAAAAGTATACAGGAATTAAAATGGAATGCATGCCTGAAAACAATCCATTTTGATGCAACTACAATATGGTATGGTGTGTTCCATAAAGATTTGCAGCTGGCTTATTAACATGGTATGTACCTTTTTCCACATATTCAACATATCTGCAATTAGTTTTAATGCAATGATTTACATAGTAATTCTACTAAAAGAAAGCAGGACAGATTTTCAGTTTCTGCATCTGTGATTCTATAAAAAAGAAATAATGAATACATAATTTTAACCACATAAAATGGAAAAGCTACTTTTATAAATGGATGCTATCATAAAGCTATAAAGGTGTTTGAAAATAATTATACTCCCAATTTTATTCAATACATCTTACCAAGTATTTTGACATGAAAATCTAAGCAGTCCTATATTTCCAGATACATTAATAATGAGCCAAAGCTCTTTTTTCTTGCAGTTAATTATTTGGCATTTTTATATTTGCTAAAGAATTTTAAACTGAGTCATCAAACTCTATCAAGTTAATTATTTGCTACTATCACAATAATTTGTCTAAAACAACAGAGGTAGCAAAAGTGAGAGACTTCCAATCACCTGAGAACCAGTAATGCAATTAAATATTATAAAGCTTTCTCTGCTAAAACACATTAATGTAATGCACTCTTTTTCAATCTGTTGTTCTATAGTTATAATGGAATGTTTTCCCACTACTTCAAGTCAGAATGGGTATGCTGGTTGGGAATTCTAAACTATAGTCTAACACAGCAGCCTCCAACCTTTTGGGCACCAGGGACCAGTGCCACAGAGAGAGGTTTTTCCGCGGACTGGAGGAGGTATGCTGCCTGCATCCTTCACTTGTTTGTGTAGCCCAATTTCTGGCATGCTGCGGCACAGTGCTGGTCCACAGACTAGGGGTTGGGGACCCCTAGTCTAACACATTTAGAAAGTCCCTAATTGTAGAAAGCTGAAATAATCCTTTCTCTGTTTTTAGAATTACCGTTGATTTGCCAGGGTATTGTATTTTCAAAAAGAGTGATGTTTCCTGCATGGACAGAAAAAGATTTTGCCCATCTATGCATTACATTTTGCGAATAATTTTTATACAAAACTATTTATTTGATTTATTTTTAAGGAAAATTGGAGACTTAAAAACTAGAAACTCTGCTCAAAGCTACAATCGATTGATTCAAAATGGGACTCTAGATATTTATTTATTTTCCAAGGAGAAAAAACAAGTAATGTAATAACTGAAATAAATGTAAAATGAAGGAATACCTAAGCAATGCGAAAATATGCTGAGTTGGTTTAAAGTGAATTGGAAGCACTATTCAGTATCTGTAACAAGCATCTAGTTTTACTGGACCCTTAGATTACAAAAAGAATAAAGCAAGTCTCTCTTTTTTTTTTTTTAGCAATAGCAGTAGACTTATATACCGCTTCATAGGCCTTTCAGGCCTCTCTAAGCGGTTTACAAAGAGTCAGCATATTGCCCCCAACAATCTGGGTCCTCATTTTACCCACCTCGGAAGGATGGAAGGCTGAGTCAACCCTGAGCCGGTGAGATTTGAACCGCTGACCTGCTGATCTAGCAGTAGCCTGCAGTGCTGCATTTAACCACTGCGCCACCTTGGCTCTTGTTGCGCCACCTTGGCTTTGTTGTCTAGGAATGGATATACTGATCAGAAAAGGAAGTTGATTTGCTAACAGCATCCTAGCCAAAGTAGGTGTTTAAAAATATTCACTTGTACATTTGGCAACAATCATCTAACAAAAATGTCTGGCTGTATAAACTTGATTTATATTTATCAGAAGTAGTAGTAAAATTTTTATCGTTCATAAGACTATTTTGAAGTAGATAGTTTCAACATTTTTCTATTGATTTAAAAAGGAACAAAACAGGATCCCAAAGTAGTTATGTTAATTACTTTGAAAAAGCATCAGACTTCCTATCACCAGCCTATAATTCTCTAACATAAATTATGTCATGAAGTTTTAGAAACTCTGCAATGCAATATTTTAAAAATTTATATGAATGGCAAGATAAGCTCTTTTATAAGGATCATAACATGAAATTAAGAAAATACACTAGGAAATAAAGAGTCATTATCAAGTTCATTTGTCTTAGAGACAACCATTTTTATTAAAAATTATTGAATATCAGTTATCAGAGGATAAAAGAATGGCTTTTGTTGCAATTTGCTACAAATTCTCATGTACAAGCCAGCTTTATGTTTTTTATGGAAGATGTTTTTTATGGAAGATGTTTTTTATGGAAGATGTTTTGTAAATAGAGACACTTTCTTCTAGAATAGAGAATAATATCACAGTTTAATTTATCTTTTAAAGACTGCAAATAAGGAAAAAATATGTTTTGAAAATTACCATATCCCATTTTTCTAAGCCTTCCTCAATGAAATATAATATATATATATATATTTGGCACAAAGAACTTCAGTACACTTTGGAGGAAATTCACTGCATGAAAACAGTTTCTTAATACCAAACATAACATTATTTACAGCAAACACCAAACAAACAAGTAAAAAAACAAACCAAAAAACCCCTCATTGTCACATTCTTAATCAAAAATGTTTATAGGCAGGTCATTTTTTTTCTCATTTATATCATATACGCTAAATGATTTCCAAATAAATACTTTCAAATAAATACTTTTTCCGTCAATTCCTTTTGAAAATTTAAATTGTTTTGTAAATAAGGGATTTTTGAAAACATTTATTCCTCCTACCTTGATTTTAAGATATTTTTGAAACAAAATTCCATTGAAGTGTCAATTGTAATTGAAATATGCAGCATAAAAATAAAAGCTGAATGTATTTAAGGCAATGTGAAAACAGTTACTAGTATGGATTATGAAATACTATTTCTTTGGGTGATATAATAGATAAAAATGGGAAATAGAAAAGAGAATGAATGTGAAATAGAAAGGAGTTTTATTTTAAAAATTACATGAAATATTACATATTTTTCTCTGTAAGGATGCAACTTACCTTAGTTTTCCAAAATTTCTATGGAAATAGAAGTAAGGTTGAGCTCAGTATATCTGAGAATTTAGAAACAGAGAAATGGGAAGCCTTGTGATATATAAAATATGTTAAGCATGTGAAACCATCAACCCTTTTGGACTGAGTTGTAAAACTCAAGCCAGGTTAAAGATACTAAATGTTTTTCAGGGAATGGTAAAAGTGCCCATCCCACGATAATTCCTTTACCAACTTATTAATTACTCAAAATGTAATGAAAATGAAATTAAGGGATGGAAAATAATCTTTTGAAAAATATTGTTTATACTAGAAAATATATGAAATATTATGAAAAACTTCTTAATAGTGTACACAAGATTCAGAAAGTAGAATTCTACTTTCAAAAATCTGTTCAGCCATGCTTCCAAACATTTCATTGGCAAAAGGGAACTTTTGCAAAATTATTAAGTAAAGCTTTTTGACATTTTTAAAATCTGCTCTGAATAAATTACGTGCAAACATTTTTTGTTTTCTTTTTCTAGAAAAAAGAAAATATATAACAAGCCTTCCAGGGAAGTGTGTGCAGTTATTGATATACACAACTATAATAGATTCTTTTGCTCCTTCAATACTATCAGAACATAAATCACCTAAACTATCTGCACTATTCTTATAAAAGTACAGAGAACAGCAATGTACTTACGTAATCTCAGCGAAGAAAAAAATTCACACTTAATCATAGCTGAATGCATAATAGGCTTTGCTTCTCTTATAATGTTAAGAAATCTTCATTAACCAATAAGGAGGTTTTTTTGGGAGGGAGGAGACATCTTTGCATATTTACAAGTTTAACATATATTACAAAGCTTGGATACATAAATTAAGTATAGTGCAAGACCTTTGAAATGTTCTTTCTATTAACAGATCAGAATGTACACATTACTAAAAGAAATAATTTTCTTTATGGAACACCCAAAAAATGAAATCCACACATTCTCAAGTTTAACCTTAAAAAGGGTATCCTTACCTGCAACATCTAGTAGTACAAATAGCAATTCTCTAGTATATCTAATTTACTGCTAAATGTTTTCTGTTAGACATCTATGAATCAAAAGAGTTATAAGTAGCCTTATAAATTGTGCAAATTACTAGCAAAGTAAGAAGTATTACTCTGTAAAGTACATACAAGCCAAATAAAAACTATTTGCCACATTCAAACAGCACTATTTGAGTCTGAAATTCTTTTTCTGGAAAATGCAGCTATGCAGCCAGAAATATTGGGAACATATACCGCAGGTGACTGTGTATTAAATTACAAAAGACACCCTATGAATTAAACAAACATAATTGACTGCCTGAGTCACTCTGTCATAGTCTAAACTGTGTTTTCCACAGATATTAGCCATGAATTTTATATATTATTATAATGCCTATTTTCTATACAGCAAACTAGATACTGACTATCTCCACTGAAAATTTTGGATTATCTAACAGTAAATACTGTGTTCAAAATTTTGAAATATAACATTTAAAAAATTATACATAAATTTACCAGATTAAGTATTTTTATTCATCTGTGTTATCTATTATTAATAAGTATCACCAACTATATACTGTCCAGATCATTTTTTATGGAGTTGATTCAATAATATATTGTATACATTTGAGTTAAAATGTATTGTTCTGACACTATTGTCTTCATTCTTTTTTCACTGACCAACTTTATATTGAATGAAAAATAATTTCCAAATAATTTCCTGAGTATTTCTTATAAGCAAATAAATATTAGCTAGATTTAGCACTCCATTTTAAAAAATCCTAAGATTTGATAAGAAATTAGAAAATATCATACACTGGATGAGTGAAACATGTTCACAGAACTATTCTTATAAGTGATATGGGGGGATTAAATTTCATTAGAAATGATTTTTCTCTTAAATATCAATCTTTTTATAAAACCTTAAAAGCAAAATGGAAGTACGACAGTCTCTCTTACACTTCTGTATTGTATCTTACTTTCTGTTTAATACTATTCCAAACAAAGTGCAGATACCATGTTAAGTTAAAACCTTACACCATGATTTACAGTGCTGTGTCATGCCAACTTTGGTTTGCCACTGGCATCTCTTGCTGTGGCTCTTTGGTCTTCACCCCATGTATTAAATGGAAGAGCATCTGCTTTGCTTTCTTGGTATGAGTCAGTTTACCTGGGTGGAAGATTGCAAGCACACTAGATGTCTACCTCCATTATGCAAATGTTTATTTCACGTTGATACGAATGGGAAAGCTATATATACATTTAAGGGAAGCAACACTGTTGTTCATATTTTATGTTTTTAGCTTTTAATCTATTACCCCAATCAAAATGTCTACAGCAAATCTTAAAACAATTGTTTTACTTGTGGCATTATAATGGGATGTATTCAGTGTTGTTGTTCAACTGACAGAAGGTTCTTTGAGTTTTTAAAAGCTTTTATTAGCAGAAAAGGGCGGGGATGAGAGCCACAAGGAGAAGCAACATAGCACACTTGATTCCTTTTATTGGATCATGAACCTCTCATCAGCAGAAGATCAGCAGTGGATATAGCCCATATCACTGCATCTAGGGTGGGAGTAAAAATCATATTGTTATACTTCAATACATATTTAGTTCCTATTTATTGTTAAGTATAATACTGCACTTAATATCACAAATGTATAAAAATATGGCAGATAGTGTCATAACGATATTTAAAGTGAATATCTTAAAAAAACCAATTATTTATTATATAAATATATATAGAGTCACATACACATACGCGCACATACATATATATTTATAATAAAATATTCCTGATGTAATAAATGTTATTTTTATAGAAACTATTATAGCTGTTTTCACTTCATTATAATTTTTCATACAGCTCCAAATAATGTTATAACATAAAATGTGATATAACAATAAGGTATTAGATAATAAATATTACAAATCTTATCAAATATGGAAGTTTTAAAAACAAAAAAAACCTAAAACTTTAAACCATACTAAAGATACAAATAGATCACATAAACCCTATTTAGGTTTTTTTTTTAAATTTAGGCAGCAATATTTTTTAAAAGGGCATACATCTAAATATTTTTTTTAATTCCCCAAAGTGCCGAAATAGTTTTCAGACAAATGTGCATATTAAGCTGGAATGTAAGCTGAGAGAAAAGGGCAAATAGTTTGTTCTCCCTGAATTGCACATTCTTTTGCTATTATAATGTGTGAATGGCAATTTATAAAGTTCATTTGGATATACAATCCCTAATGATGTGGTAGTAGTAGCTTTACATACTCCATATTGCACACTCTTTTGTAAAGCTGCAATACAATCATTATTCCAATCACTGGCATCGCCATATCCCTCAGTCAACCCCTGTAATATCACTTTCTTGGATACAATTACAAAGCTGTCTCCTTTAAATCATTCAGATTTGGCATTCGAGATCGGTTTGTTCGATTATACGTATGCCCATTTTGGCCACTTTTCGAAGCTATCTGATCTGAATATGATGATGTCTCACTGGCACTTCTGTTCCCTGGGGAAACATGCCAGCTTGGTTCCATCTGGCTTGGGATCTGGAGGGCTGCTCTGCCTTTTGATTGAGATTCTTGGCGTAGGTTGTTGCTGCTGGTAGTGGAAGCTTGACTCATAGGATGAATTCGAACTTCAGAAAAAGAGGTTTTAGCTGGCTGATTTGGTAAAGGCTGGAATCGGGCTTCAGAAGGAACTGAATGGTTTGAGGAGGTGGAAGAAAGATGTAACAGCTTGCGTAAAGATTTTAGAGGCTGACTCTGAAAGACAGAATGTAGAAAATGATGGGTGTCTCTTGTTATTTATTTCCCTCCAGCCCTTGGTTTCCCTCCTTCTTAGTTTCCTTATTTTTGTTAAGTGTTTTGCATATTGACATTGCACATTAGACTGTCAATTATTCAATAAATTGGCTTGAAATCTTTAAGCGGTCATGGACAATAGGGGTTCTTAGAATTCACTAAAAGGGGAAGTAGAGAAACTGTCAGATCCCATAGATCCTATCAGGATGCTGCTATTCTAATAGGGAAGGGGCCCACCTGCATTCTTTAGTTTATAGCCTTTTCCTTGATGTCTATGTATCCTGTACTTTGATTTTCCTTCTTGGGAATGTCAGGGAGAAGAGCCATCTGTTTTGTCTCAGTTCCGAAGCCTCCAGCAAGAGATGCCTGGGAATAACTTAACACCTTTTCAGCCTGTGCTTCTCAAAACAAAGCAGAGGCTGACACACTACGCATGTGCGGATTGGCTTATTCAACATTGGACTGAGGGGAGGGTTTTCTAACTGCTTTATCCTAACTGAATTGACCAGGAAGCTGTAGATCCTGCTTCCTTTATCCTGCAATCCCTTTCCTTCAATAAAAGGTTCCTTTTGAAATGTTAATGGTTTCAAGAGTTTTACTTTCTTGAAGGGAAAGGAGAGGCAGATCTAACATAAAGCAGGATCTGCAAAAGTGGTCAACCTGGAGAAGCTCTACTCACTCTACCAAGCCCTGTCTGATCAAAGTGGCAAGTACGGAGAGGAAGAATGCTGGGGTGAAACCTCTACCATCACCCAGCCAGATGCAATCTCTGTGTGCCCCATTGAAGCTGTTTTGGAGGACCCCACAACACTGAGATGGTCGATCAGAGTAGGGAAGAAAGACAGCTGGGGCGGAAGAATCAAAGGCATCACCCTTACTCGAGGCGACTGGCAGCCAGGCTGGAAATGCAAGCTGGAAGCCCTGTGGGACCAGGAGGAACTGGGCCAAGAGCTGACTGGGGACAATTGACTGAAAAGACATGTCATGCATTTTGTGATGGAGGCTTTTGAGAACCTAAGAGCCAGGGGGGAGCTAGACTGTTGCAAGAGAGGAGGCAAGGTGGCAGCAACAGCCGATGGAGTCAGAGCTGCCACCCTGTATCTGACAGCCACAGATCAGGCAGACGGGGCTGTGGGAGCAGTAGCCATCCCAGCAAACCCGCTCCGTGCAGCACCAGCTCCTGCGAACATTTCAGGCCAGCCAAGAGCACCACAGCTGGAAAGCAACCGTTCCCCTGGGAGTGAAGTATGATGGCGACCTGCAGCAGTTGGTTTTTTTTCTGGTGCATGTCCTCATGTACATGCAGGAATATAGACAGGATTTCCAAGGCATCGGAGTCAGAGTTGTCACCCTGGCCCTGAAAGGAGCGGCAATCTGGTGGATGGTGACCCTCCACAATGCTGATGCCCTAGAGCTACAGAACTTCAACTGTTTAATGATGGCTCTCCGCTGCCACTTTGAGGACCCCCTGGCAGATTGAAAAGCCTGTGTCCGCATAAAAACTCTGAAGCAGGCTGCCAGCCACATATACCAAGGAATTCTGAGACTTCGCCTGCCAAGTAGACTGGCTGGAAGACATCCTGATAAGCTGGTTCAAGGAGGGGCCTCTACTATGTCCGCCTAGCCCAAGGGGCCCCAAACCGCCTCCCTGACTGGTACATCCTGGCTGAAGAGGTAGAGATTGAACTGGCCAGAAACCAGTACCAAGTGGGGAAAACCTGGAAGAGATCACCAAACCAGGGGAAATGAGAACTGTTCAAGCCGCAAACTGCCCTCTTAGCATGACCATCTGCCTGTTTCAAGTGCAGGAAGGAAGGGCATTACAAAGCTGAATAGCGCTCAAAAACCCGAATGCCTATCAGATGAAAGCCACCCCTGCGGGAAAGACACTGAGAAGCGGAGAGGTCATGGTGTTTTGCTCCTTCGCAAAACCAGGGGAGGGAACTCTGGCCTCACCAGGAAAAGACCCGGGCTTGTTCCAAAGCGACCCCGAAGATGACCCGCTGGTTAGTGAACTGATCAAACCGGTCACACTGCCCCTAAGACTATTAATCTCCAGCTGGAAAAAGAGAGTAAGGCTCTCAGCCTTTCTGGACTCAGGATGCAAAGGTAAAGGTTCCCCTCGCACATATATGTTAGTCGTTCCTGACTCTAGAGGGCAGTGCTCATCTCCATTTCAAAACCGAAGAACCAGCGTTGTCCAAAGAAGTCTCCGTGGTCATGTGGCCAGCATGACTAAACGGCGAAGGAGCACGGAACTCTGTTACCTTCCCACCAAAGGTGGTTTCTATTTTTCTACTTGCATTTTTACATGCTTTCTAACTGCGAGGTCGGCAGAAGCTGGGACAAGTAGCGGGAACTCACTCCATTATGTGGCGCAAGGGATTTGAACTGCTGACCTTTCTGATCGACAAGCTTAGCATCTTAGCCACTGAGCCACCGCATCTCTGAACTCAGAGTGTACCCGGTGCTTAATAAGCCCGCCTGGTTGGGAAATTGGACATCCACCTACGGAAGCTAAAGACCCCCATTGCATTCTGCCAATTAGATGGGTCAGTTGCGCAGAGGAGCCAGCCACTTTTGCCACAGAGTCCTTGAAAATAGCCATGGGGACCCATGATGAGAGACTCACAGGCACCCGGAATGGAGTGGTCACTAGATCTGGGACTCACCTTGCTGAAGAGATAAAACCCCAGAGTAAACTGGAAAGAGGGGACCCTAAGATTCAGGTGGAAAGTGAGTGGACCAGATGAATGAAAGGAGAAACTGGGGAAAAATCCAAATAAAGAAACAGCTGTGGCTGAGAGGACCGACCCAGCTCAGAGAATTCCCTGGAAATACAAGGAGGGCTCCATTGAGCTCCCCCCGCCCCGACTGTATCACTAAGATTCTCCCAAGGGTCACGCTACTAAAACCCAAATGTACAGTATGTCCCTCAGGGAACTCGAGGAATTGCAAGCTTTCAGGTAAAATTACTCGGGTAAAAGATACGTCATAGTACTGTTAAAAGTGCAACACTGAAATAGCTTCTTTTGCCAATCTGATAAAAGCACCAAGGCTCTATGGGCACTGCTGGTAAAATCTTTTTAATTGATTTATAAAAAAATTCCAATGTAGCTCTGGGTTAATGAACTAATAATCAAGAAGCACTTGTGATGATTTCAGTTTGAGATCCCAAGAATAAAAGTTCAAAGCTACTCTGTTTTGTAACTTAGAACAACTATTCACCTGCCAAATGACTTAAAATGAAATGAAGCAATATTTAAACATACATGTCCTTGGATTTCTGTCATCTTTTCAGAATGCCAGTCCTTCTGCCTGCTGGCTGGATGATTAGACGTGTGAATAGCTTTTTGTATTGCCAAAAGATCCTGACTTTCGCTTCCAGGCATCTGTAACATGGAACAATATGTATTCATTAATTCCTGAGAACAAAAATTCTAAGTTATGTCTCATCTCCCACTTCTCTGATCAAAGCAATGCAAGTGAATCCATTATTGCTATGCCCTTTTAAGATCTCCATATTAATAATGTATTTATAGATGCCATGCATATTTTTATAACCTCAACCCTTAAGGCATTCACATGCTGTTAGTTAAATACTGCAAAAAAGAGACGGAGCAGTTAAGTGCAATGCTCTATTTCACCCTCATTTTCACAACATTCCATATTGCTTTTAAGATCATGAGCCATTTCCACAAAAACTATGTGTTTTGCTAAGGAAGAAATATAAACAGTCATCAATTACTTTTGCAGTACTTTTATAAGGAAGAGCATTTTTCCTTATCAAAGAAATAAATTTAGTTAAAAACATATGTTTACTAATCAGAGAAACTGCTAAATAAGGCAGCATGCCAGTTTGAGAGAAAAACTTTGGCTGAATATATCTTCTGAACAGTTTAGTCATCTAACAGGGAGTAGGCGATTACTGGCTAATACTCCTTTCTCAGCAAATAAAATTTAGGATTAAAAATTGTTAATCCATTAAATATAGGGGGATTAATTTTATTTTCCCAACAACATATAATAAGATAATTGAATATAGAGAATATAAAAGCTTTCCAAAGTGTTCTATATCCAATGAAATTCAACCATGGCTAATACATTGTGTTTTCCTTTTATTTAGGTAAACCAAAGCAGTAAGGTTTACGTATAAATAAGAATATTCCATTTGAAAAAAATAATTGCATACTACTCACACTGATTATAAAAGAAGTTGTCTTTTATGTTTTATTAAATGTTCATTTCTAATCCTGATGATAATATTATTCATAATGTTGCATTTCTTTGAAATTTGGAGGAAAAAACTTCCAGGTTCCCTGAATTTGTAGAATTGGCTCAAGATACTTAATTTGCGTGAAGAGTATGATCCCATGAGAAAAATGTCTGTCTGTCTGTCTGTCTGTCTGTCTGTCTGTCTATCATATTACACACACACACACACACACACACACACACACACACACACACATACACGCTATAG